TAAAATAGGTATTAATATTGTAATATAAATAACTGCTCCCTGATTTATCTGTATTGTAAATTCCTATATCAGCATATTAGTTTTTTCTGTGAATATGGTTGTCTCAAGTCTCAGCCTTTCACATTGTCTCAAGATGTATGATTCATTGTTCTTATTCACTTTTTCTAATTAAGGCATGTTTTTTTATTTGTTATTCCCTCAAAAAATTGTTGAAATTATCTGAAAAGTTTGATTGTTCTAGCTATTTTTCCAACACCCAGAAAATAGGGCCTACAGCCTTATCTGATTCCCTCTTTTAAGATTCTTTTTTAAAAAACCAAATTTCTGCATGACTCCAGGTTTGATTTTCATTTAATTACCATTGTAATTTCTTGAATAATCCACGTCTTTATTTCTAGAACTTAAAGTGATTTCAGAATGTTTTCATAAAAGTCCCTCAAAACTAGTCATAATTGCATAAAAACACCTTATTCTCATTTGACTATTCACCAAGTTTTTTGTATTTAGAAATTCTCCCAGAATCACTACATGAAATGTTAAGTAAAATTTACCCAAGTAATTTTTAGGATACCCTGGAGTTTCTATAAATATACTCTAAAATATTTCTACATATCAATCTTTTGAATCTTCTTTATTTCTGGACCTGACTTTGTTTTGTTTTTAGTCTCTCTTCTTTCCAATTACTCTGATTTACTTTTTCACAAGTATTTCCTTTAGGTATAACAAATTTAAAACAATAGAATTTCCTTTTTAATGAGCCTTTGACAATCTGGGAGCCCTGGTGGCACAGTGGTTAAGAGCTCAGCTGGCAACCAAAAAGTTGGCACTTCGAATCCACCAGCTGCTCCTTGGAAACCCCATAGGGTAGTTCTACTCCGTCCTCTAGGATCGCTATGAGTTGGAATCAACTCGACGGCAGTGGGTTTGACAATCTAGATCTTTAATATTTCCTTAGTCATGAAATACATCACACCTACACCTTTCTCATTTGGAAAACAGAATCTAAGTATCTGTGTGCGGTTGAGGATGTTGAGCAATTAGAGCTCATATTTTGGGTAATATTATGGAATGACATATGGTTCTTCTGGAAGTTCAGGGAAATCAACTGGTTAGAATGGAAATGTATTTCCTTCTGAGTTGTCAACATTACTGGCCTCTTCCTGTGAAAGATTTTCCTATCATTTCAGGGTTCAACTGCTCTGTATTATCATCCAATGTTTGCTGAGTGTCTAACCTGCCCATCATAGAGACATCAGAATGGAGATGTGGGAAAGTCATATCATATAACTCTTTACTTAAAATACAATCCATGTGTTTTTAATCATAGGAGTTGCTAGATACCTGGACATCTAGATCTAGAAGTATCCTCTGATACTCTGCTCTCTTCTGTTGCTCTCTGTTGAACTCCAGAATTGAGAGACTTGAGGGAAAAAGCTGAAAACTTTTTACTTGATTTCTGCTTGAGTTTCCTTATTATCTTGTACACATAAAGAAAGCCCTTGTTGTCATAATTGTTCTCCAGGGAAAAAAAAAAAAAAGCTACACACCTAAATATCATTTAGAAATCAAGACTATTTGAATTACTATGGTTTCCCTTAGCTTAATAGTTATTTTAGAAAGGTATAAGTGAGCTAAAAATACTCATTACCAGACTAGGAAGTCAGTAGACACCACCTAAAATAGATGAATCAAAGCAGGACAGAATTTGTTTAGAAAACTAGAGACAAATACTAAGAGGAAACTAAACAAGAAAGAAAGAAAGAAAAAGAATATTATTGTCTCTGAGACACAGGTGGGAGTAAAGATTAACAGAGTGGACAGAAATTGCTTTTGTAAAAAAAAAAAAAAAAAGCCTAAGGGCAATTTAACTTTTTAGCATATTTACATATAATACTTAGATAAAAATAAAAATTATTTTAAAATTCCCTACCATCTTCTTGGAACATCAACAAATTTCTAATCTTTCTTTTCCCCTTAGGATTTTATTTTATTATATTAAAATCTAAGTCCTAGAGTAAAACAGAAATTGATAAAAAGGCTGGTTGAAAAGGTTGTTGTTGATTTTTAAGTATTTTGAGAAACATGGATTCCTCACCTCTTTCATCAGATTTGTACTTTTACAAGTAAATAGTGTTAAAAAAAATAAACTACACAATAGATATTTTCATACTAACCTGACTGACTGTATCTGCTTTTAGACATCATCACTTTCACATTATCTGTGGGATAATTTTCAACTGAAAATTGTTCTGTTTCATCATTTTCAATTATAGTATCTTCATCCAATATCTGTTTGGGAAATGACAATTCTGTTTCCTTTGGAATGTTCTGGAAGTTCCAAGGATTGTCAACACTATATAAGAATTTTTTAAAATATGTTAAGGTATCAGAATCATCTGTTTTCTCTAAGACTCTTTTCTTGTCTATTTGATCTTTGGTTTCCATAATTTTTATTATTTCTGTTTCTTGTTCCTTATGAGTGCCAAATTCACTTGCTGGAGGATGCTCATATTTATTGCCTCCACCTCCTTCTTCATTTTTTCTGTCATCTGATATAATTTTATCTTCATCGACATATGCAAAGCCTAGTATACCAAAACCAAAATCAAACCAACTTGACTTGAGAACTGAGCTATCATTAATAATTGGGTCTTCTTTTTCTACTAACTTTTCTGTACATGGAACTATAGGTTCTTCATCAGATGATATGGGATTGGGAACATCTTGTAGTGGTTGATTGCTTTCTGTGGACAATAATTCAAGTCCTGTATCCTCACCTCCAAAACCGAAGAAACTTATAAATCCACCACCAAACCAACCAGTGGCTTGAGATTTGAGAATGTGCCCAGACTCAGACGCTAGTTCAGAATGTTTCTTTGGCACTGAATCAAATTCTGATTCAGGTTCTTGTTTATGTTCTATTTGAGGCTCATCATTATTTAATTCCTCTACGTCATTCTCATCTACCACTGCTAATTTTCTACTTCGAAATGAGCTTTCTTGCAGAGGTTCAACAACTGATTCAAAAGCCTTCCCTTCGGCTTGTTCCCTTCTCAGTCCAAACCACCCCCTCACTTCAGGCACAGCTGAGGATGGTGGGACATCATCTACTTCTGGAATTTGATCTTGGGCTTCTTCTTTGACAATATCCTTTTCCACACTTCCAGCTTCTACTTCTTCCCAGTCTTTTGATTCAATTGTACTTCTGATATCATCTGAAGCCTCTACTGCTAGAAATTGGTCTTCTAACAAAGTGCTTTCAGAAGTTGAATAAAATCCAGATTCTATCTGAAAATCACTTTCATACACACTAGAGTTTTGGTCTTTATCTTCTTCATATGGATATATAGTTTCATCATTATCACTGTTTAACTCAGTATCTTCAGTTTCAAATATATAGCTTACTCCAAGAAGACAAAGAAAGTCAGATTCCTAAAAGAAAAGAAACATGATTGACATAAATGTACTAAAACTTCTTGTTTCTCCCTAAATCATTTAAAATGGATGATTGTGATTTTCTCAAGACCACACAACTAGCTCAGCAGCAGAGTGAAAACTAAAATCTCACCTTCCAATCTCACCTTTATCGCAACTGATTTCTAAGGCTTAATGATATAAACCTAAATGAAAATCTTTTTACATTATGGTTTCTTTGTTATCAGATAGTTGAAGAATTTGAGAAGCAGAGACAATGCTTTGAGTATATTCTGCAAATAAACTCTGATGAAAATGCATACATGCCCATAAAACCTTGCACCTCCTAAGTGTGTACCGAGTGGACACATACATTCATGTGGGGATTTGAGGGAGGGGAATTTCAGACCATGTAATCATACAGATAAATGCCTTCACAGCCAGACAGATCAGACACTCTTGTGTAGGGGCAGATTATCCAATAGGCAAGGTAAGCACAGGTTTACTTGTGCCTATTTACTAATCTGTAGTGAACAATTCCACATTTTTTTTTTTTTTTTTACCACATCAAAGATTGTTTCTAGGAGTGGCTGGCATCTGTCTCTCTCCCAACCCCACAGCACCTTCCTACAGAATCAAATCCTCTTCAAGTTTACAATCCCTGACAAGTAAGCCTGTGTTTACCTTGCTTATTGGATAATCCAACCCTACTCTTGTGGCATGAAGGCCTGATTAGAATTTGCACTAAAATACTTAGACTCCTTTTATTGAGGTTTTGCATATAGGCAAGGGAGGTAGGGATCCACTTGCTCATCTCACTAAACAACCAAATCATCAGGAAGAAAAGTGGTGAGGATATTTTTCTTAAAAAGCTGAAGGTTAGGAACGGTGTGTACTGCACTTTGGATATCACCATTATGAAATGAGAATAAAGATCAGGTTTTTTTTTATTAACTTCAGAATTGCAATTTTACAATATATTTTCCACACTGCAATATAGTAGGTGATTACAAACAGACTCTAGAACCAAATCCCTGGGCTCAAATCTCGACCTTGCCATCTACTAGCTCTGTGGCCTTGGGTGAATCATGTGACTTCTCTATGCCTTAGTTTCCTCATCTGTGAACTGGAGATAATCATACCTATCTCATAGGGGTGTTGTGAGGATTAAATGAGTCAAGTACTTAGAATAGTAGCTGTCTCTAGTAAACACTAGCCTTGTCTATCTAGCCCAAGATTACACCTCCTCAGATGCAGCCAGTAAGGCAGGGATATAAAGGCCCAATCCTCTTGCCTCAATTTCAGACAACTCTGAAGGGCCATCCCAGCTTCAGGGCCCCTTGTAAGACTGACTGAGGCTTTTCTTGCAACTGCATCACAGTTCAACATCTCTGTCTGTCCAATCCTACTTTTTTGTTTGTTTCCTCGCAGGTGCTATTCCTGAGAGTACCGCCCAGTAAACTTTGTATGCAAAGAGCGGTGTCAGAATCTGTTTCCCAGAAAAACCCAAACTAAGGTTTTGGGACTTCTGAACGCTTACTATGTGACTGGCACTGTGCTAGGAGTCTACAGTAAATAGAAAAAAATAATTATAAATTGTGTAACTGCTGTGTTGTTGTTGTTGTTAGGTGCCATCTAGTTGGTTTTGACTCACAGCGACCTGATGTACAACAGAATGAAACACTGTCCAGTCCGGCATGCTTAAGGCCATTGTTGAAGCCACCGTGTCAATTCATCTCGTTGAGGGTCTTCCTCTTTTTCGCTGACCCTCTACTTTACCAAGCTTGATGTCCTGATAACATGTTCAAAGTATGTCAGATGAAGTCTCACCATCCTCGCTTCTAAGGAACATTCTGGCTGTACTTCTTCCAAGACAGAGTTGTTTGTTCTTTTGGCAGTCCCTGGTATATTCAACAAACTTCACCGACGCCATAACTCAAAGGCATCCTTCTTCAGTCTTTCTTACTCACATCCAGCTTTCGCATGCATATGAGGTGATTGAAAACACCTTGGCTTGGGTCAGGCATACCTTAGTCCTTAAAGTGAC